TAATTTTTAAAAGACAGGGTCTCACTATGTAGTCCAGGGTGGCCTTAAACTCACGGTGATTCGGCCTCAGCCTCCTGAGTGCTGGGATGATTTTATAATTATTTTAATAGCCACTGAAATAAATTTTGTTTTTAAAGTGGTTGGTATCAAACTCCAGGCTTCATGCATGCTAGGCAAGCACTCTACCACTGAGCTATATCTCAGGCTCCTGACATAAGTTTTTGAATGGTGACCACAGTGCTGTGAGAGTGGCCAGCAGGGCAGGGGAAGCAGGCATCTAACTCTCTGGAAAATGTGTGGAAAGCCCACCATGGAGGTGACCTTCAGCTGTCAGTAACAGGAAGATGAAGATGCACGCGGTGGAGAGCTAAGGAGGCTGTGTCGAGCCAGAGGGAGGTGGTGTGCTTGGCCCCCGACGTGAAAGTACTGGAGCAATCAGGCAGACGTGGCTGGACACTGAGTGAGGACCAGAGGGACCAAGCCCTGCCTCTGAGACCAGCCCTGCTAATCACTGGCTTTCCTCTGACATGTGGAGACATTGCCATGCAGAAGCAGTTGAAAGAATTAGGAGAGAAAATGTGCTAGAGTTCTTTGTGAATTATGCTCAATTAAGGTGTTTTGTTTCCATGTAGATCTAAGTGTAACAAATACTGCAAGCATCTGAAGGTGTGTGTGAGTCATGCTGGTTCTTTGCAACTTCAGTGATGGTGTGGAAAGTTAGGGAAGCAGACTAAAGGCAGCAGGTGTTTGTTTACTCTCAATTGCTGAAAGCAGGGCTCCCTTCACATCTGCTCCTGGCTTTCCCTTCTGCTAAGATCAGAATGGTTTATGGTTCTCTGGGACAGGCCAGGCCGGGACCCGCCACCCCACCTTAAGAGGTCATGAGTGTAGACCTGACCAGGTTGCATACAGGGCCATATGGGTTCCCTTCTGACAGTTTTATGGTGTTTCCACGAAGAGAATTTCAGTCTCTTGCCTTGAATTTGTTCACGTGACTCCTAAAACATCTATTTGTATACACCTCCTCCTCCTCCTCCTCCTCTTTGGTGGTACTAAGAAGTGAACCTAGGTCTTTCTCACTGAGCTACATTGCCAACGTTTTCTTATTTATTTATTTATTTATTTATTTATTTTGGTACCGGGGACTGAACTTGGGACCTTGTGCTTGTGAGGAAGGTGGCAGAACCACTGAGCTAATCCCTGGCCCTTTTATTTTTTATTTTGAAACAGTTGCCCAGGCTGGGCTCAAATTCTCCATCCTTTGCCCCAGCCTCCCAGAATGCTGGGATTTACAGGGATGCACTACCACCCCAGCTAAAATATCTTCTCATCTTTTTTTCTTCTCATTTTATAAACTTAGTTCCACAAATCCTTCTCTGAGATTCCAAAATCCTCAATACTTTGAACACTACAAATTTTGTTTTTAACTCACCTGGTGGCAAAACCTGGCCTGAGTTGCATTCATTTGGTGGCAAAACCAGACATGAAGCTATGTATAATCGTCTTTTACCTCACCTAAAGTGAAGAGCTTTGCATTTAATGCAGGAACATAATTGTGCTTATTATGCACTTCAGATCTGCATACCTATATTAAGTGGTGGCTTTTCCAGCATTCTGTAACCTTCTAATAGAATTATTGGGGTTACATGTTGTTTTTTTTTTTTATCTGATTTGCTTACTTGTGGTTTGAATAAATGAACATTGATTATAGGTGCCTGAACTGGCAATGATGGAAGACACAAATATTTTACAGCAACAGGAACAAACAACCCTGTCAACAACTGCACACACACATTATGATGCGTATGTTTCTCAGATTAGTATGAAAATTCTATGTACATACTTATAATACAGAAGACATTTATAACTAATTGTATATTTAATAAAAATAAAATATTTATTTGAAATCTTTAGAAGTATAATTTTTCACAGTTCCAGGCATAGAAATGCTCACTAAATTTGTAAGAGTATTGAACATTCTCAGAATCTGTTAACTTGATCCCAGCTACATTGTAGAGAAGCACATAAACAAGATTACCATTTTTCTTTTTGTTGCTTAAATTAGTCCAGCATTTAATTACATTACGTTCTTCCACTTATTATATAAGGCAGGTGCAGCGCCACTGCGCTGAATCCCTGGCCCTATATAAGGGCTGATGGGGAAATTCTTTCTAAAGGCCACTCACAGTGCCAGTTCTGCAGTCTCATTCCTGGTGCTGAGCATCCCCAGACAGTAGCAGGCTCCCCCTCCAGGTGTCACGGGTGTGAAGGGCAGCATTGGAACAGGGGTTCACCAAGTGGCTTTTTAATTTCATTGAAGTTTTATAAGTTCCAGGTCAAGATCATCTTTATCGATCTGCAAACGCAGAATAGAAATAAGTTGGCATCTTCCTGCTCCTATACTGTGCGGGTAGCTGCTAGGGGCTGAATATTTGTTACCCCCAAATTCAGATTTTGAACCCTAATTCCCAAGGTGAGAGTGTAAGAGGTGGGTGTGTTGGGAGGTGATGCATGCCCGTACTCGGGGGCTCAGAGCAGCTTGCTCACCCTCCTGCCCCGCAAGGACAAAGCTGGAGAACACCGCCTGCAGGGACGCTGCCCTCCCTGCAGTGGGCTAATTCTGTTCTGAGACTCCAACTTCCAGAGCTGTCAGCAATACCTTTCTGTTGTTACAGCAGCCTGCAGAGACTAAGGCAACAACTAAGTGTGGAGCAACAATAGAGTTGTTTTGTTTTCTTTTGAGACAGGGTCTCACTATGTAGCCTGGGCTGGCCTCAAACACATGGTGATCCTGCCGCCTCAGTTTCCTGAGTGCTCCACTCTTTTTTTGGAACAGCAAGAGCCGTGGAGCCTAAACACAGGTCCTTCACCGCCACAGATGAGGACGTAATTTCCCTTCACATGCTGACTGCTGTTACTCGGGTGAGGAGAGAGAACATTGCAGTGAGGCCTCTGAAGAGGATGCTGCGGTGGAGAACTAGACGAGCCCTGAGAGCTGGTTCAAGGCTCCTGTGTGCATCCCTGCCCTCGGCACAGCCTTCCCAGGGCCACAGAGGAGCCCAAGGGAGGCCGTACTACCAGCCAGAGCGACCATCCTGCAGACTGGCACAGTGAGGAAACGCTTCTCACTAGGAAGGTGGGAAAACTTCTCAGCCTTACGATGGTCTTCCTGGTTTTAGTGACTTTTATGTATCATCATCATCATCATTTGTGGTGCTGAGGAGTGAACCCAAGGCCTCTGCACTGAGCTACATTTCTAGCCTGTTTTTGAGTCAGGGTCTCACTAAGTTGCTAAGTTTGGTAGGCTGGGCTTGAACTTGGGATCCTCTGGCCTCGGCCTCCCAGAGTGCTGAGACTATGGGCAGGTGCCACCATGTCCACCCCAGTAAATATTAATTTGGTTGATACTCGTAATTCTTTGGTTCTGTTTGGTTGAGAGGCTAGTGAGAGATCCTCTCTGCTCTTTTCTCACTTCTTACCTCAGTGGCTCTCAACTACTCCCTAGGGAATATTTTGAAACCTCATGTTTCTTTTTTTTTTTTTTTCCTGTTACTGGGGATTGAACTCAGGACCTTGTGCTTTCAAGGCAGGTGCAGCACCACTGAGCTAAAACCCCAGCCCCTCATGTTTCTTTTTATTAGAATGGTGTAGGGGGCACTATGGGCAGGGCTGGGGGCAAGCTTTCCTTTGAAACACAGCCTGTATAATGAAGAAATGTCTTTCATCCAGATTCTTAAAGGTCCCCTAGGACATTCACGTAGAAGAAAGCTTGTGTTTAATTCTGCGAGCCTATAAATTAATACAAGTTTTGGAAAAAAAATGTAAATATACAATGAACTTTCTAGGCATGCAATTACAGTTCTGTGGGAATTTAGGGAAGACTGGCTTTGCTACCGAGAATCCTTCAACATTTCATGAAGTCACCTCTTGGATGGTGACACACTGGAGGTGGCTGAGTCACCAGCTCTGCACCTGTGTGGCTGTGTTGAGTGGCCCCTTCTCTGGGGTCCCACCAGGATGCAGGTGCACACCACAGGCTACCAGGGATACAGGCCTGGTGCTCACACCAGGGTACCATTTATGCCATTTCGAGAGAAGTTACTGTTCTTTTGCATCCCTTTTGCAGTATAGGCAGAGACACATTTTGAGTTTTTTGAAGGTATGTGTGTAGGAAGGTTGTACCATGTATGACTTCAGTTCATGATGGAGAGGGGATCATTATAAAATACTGTAACGGGGCCGGGGATGTAGCTCAGTGGTTCCGTCGCCTGCCTCACAGGCACAAGGACCTGAGTTCGACCCTGGTACCAAAAAAACCCAAATAAACTATAACAAGTTCTAGTCAGTCTTACAGTATTTGGCTTCTTTCCACCTTCTTTGGAGGAAGCAGCCAGAAAGGACTTCTTTTCCTTTCCTTCTCAGAGCAAGCCCCTTTGTCTTCTGCACACCCAACTTCAGGCCCTGTCTTAGTTATTTTTCTCTCGTTGCTGAGACAAAATACCTGACACCCAAAGTTAAAGGAGGAAAGGTTTATTTGTAGAGGTTTCAGTCCATAACTGGCTGGCTCCAAGGCAGGGTGGCACATGGTAGAGGGGCAACAGTTCAAGGTACCAAGAGACAACCACAGCTCTTTCTTTTGTTTTTTTTTTTTTGGTACCAGGGATCAAACTCGAGACTTTGCACTTGCCAGGCAGGCGCGGCACCACTGAGCTACATCTCTGGCCCTACCACAACTCATTCTATTCCTTATGTGTTACTCAGACTACTCAGGGCGGGTGGCACTCACACCCTGAATCCTAGTGTCCTTGAGGCTAGCACTGCATGGATCAGTCACACTCTAGATTCAGTCACCTCCAGAAAAAGCCCCACCTAGGACTGTATGAGGCTTTGGAGGACATCTAGACAGCACAAGCCTTAAGATTCTGTCCCTGGACCCCAAGGACTCATGCTCGTCCCTTTATCCCATTAGCCCATCTCCAGGAGTTGTCAAAGTTCTTACAGTTTCAGCACTGCTGAGAAGTTCACATCTCAAGTCTCTGAGACTTAAGGCTGAAAATCCCTGAAAAGAAATGAAAATGAAAAGAAAGTTAAATACTACCAATGCTGAATGGCACAAGATAGACTTTTCCATTCTAAAAGTTATAATAGGAGGATACAAAAGAATGAGACCAAAGCAAGACCAAAATCTTGCTTTTATTTTTTTTATTAAAAAAAATTTTTTTTTTGGTTTTTTGAGGCAGGGTCTCCCTTTCTAGTCCAGGCTGGCCCTGAACTCACTATGTAGCCCAGGCTGGTCTTGAACTTGCAGTGATCCTCCTGCCTCAGCCTCCCGAGTGCTGGGTCACAGCTGTGCACCACCACGCCCAGCTGCAAGATGGAAATCCATCAGGGCAAACCCTAAACCCCACAGCTCCACTTCCAGCAGCCCCAGCAAGCCGTGCCGAGCTGTGAGCTCCAAAGGGCTGTGCAGCTCCACCCTATGGCACTGCTGGTGGTTGGGGCACCCATGGCTCCTCTTTGGGGTCAGTTCTGCTCCCCCTGCAGTTTTCCTCAGATGATCCACAGTCCTGGCGTCGCCGACCTTCTGGGGTCTCCACTGCGCTTCGTCTTCACACTCACGGCTTCACACTCCGCCCTCCCAGGGGCACCCTGCCCGGCCTCCCAGGTCTTCTGAAATCTGGGTGGAAGCCTTCCTGACCCCACAACCGTTGCATTCTGCGTATGCCTAAAACCAGCACCAGGTGGATGATGCCAAGGTCTGCTGCCAGCTGGAGCAGCAGCCAGGCTTCCTTCTCTCTTCTCTGTAGGGGTCAAGTGCCTATGAACCAAATTCTGAGGAGCAACTTTCCTAGGCTGCTGTCATTCTGGAACATGGAGCTCTGGGGCTTTCTTCCCAAGCAGTCTCTCACTTTTGCAATTTTGAGGCTGTAGAGTGGAGGCCTGCTGCTTCTTGTGATGCCCTCAGGCCATCTTTTCTGTTCACCTGTTCCTTCTCAGCAATTAAGATCTCCTCTACTCTATCTTTGCAGTTTCCGGCCAAACTCAAAACATTTTGAATCATTTTGCTCAGCTCTGGTTCTTTGCTCTTTTCTTTTTTTTTTTGGTACCAGGGATCGAACTTGGGACCTTGCACCTGTGAGGCAGGCACCTTAACCACTGAGCTAAATCCCGGCCCTCTTTGCTTTTCATTCTCAACGTAGATCTGGCTGAAAGCCCCAGCGGCAGCCACGCCACCACCCCAACGTCAGACCGTTCTGAAATCTGTTCTGCCAGATGAATCAGTCGGCTGCCCTTAGTGTCAGTCTCAGGCAGTCTCTGGACACGAGCAAAATGCACAGAGACTCTCTGCCAAGCCGCGCACACATCATGTGGAGTCCGACAGCGGATGCAGTCCTCCTCCTCAGCAGAGTCCTCTCAAGCCTGGTCTTTACCGGCTTTCTGGTCTGCTTCCGACTAGAGTGCCCCACACAGCACAGTCCAAGGGGTTCCGGCTCTCATTTTCAGTCGGCATCTCCAAACCTTCCCGACTCTTCCCCGAGCCAGTCAGTCCCAAAGGCTCCTGAACCACCCGGTCAGGTATAGTCACAAGGATCCTGTTTCTCTCGTACTAAACCCTGCCTCAGTTGCTTTTCTTTTGTCGTGGAGACAGAATACCTGACACCCAAAGTTAAAGGAGGGAAGGTTTATTTAGCTCACAGTCTGTAGAAGTTTCAGTCCATATTGGCTGGCTGCAAGGCAGGGTGGCACATGGCAGAGGGGTAACAGTTCGAGGCAGAACACAGCTAAGGCAGCAGGAAACAACCACAGCTCCTTCTGTCCCTTCGATCTTACCCAGACTATTGCGGGCAGGCAGCACTCGCACCCTCAACCCTAGTGCTCTTGGACCTAGCATCGCACCCTGATTCAGCAGTGCACTCTAGGTGCAGCCACCCCACACAAGGCCCCCCGAGGACTGCACGAGGCTCCGTGGGCCATCTGGACCCAGCCGAAACAGGCCCATCGCCACCGCCAGCGGGCAACACAGCCGCCAGGCCTGCTGTCCGGACAGGCTGGGCCTCTGCTGCCCCCCCAGGCCGGCGATGACGCACCACCTCTGGTGCTTCTGGGCAGCTCTCGGTTCAGAGCGGCTGACAGACAGGCCCCGTCGGGGTGGAGAGGATGCTGGCTCCTGCCCCCCCCCCCCCCCCTCGCTCTCCTCTCGAGTCCAGAGCTGAGATTT